AGAATTTATTAGAGAAGACATATTGGCACGTCTGGGGAAAACCCGAATCTGAATGGCCGTGTTTTCCCCTGCTACACTAAAGCTCCCACCCAGCCCCTATTGATCATCCTCAAGTCACACTCTCCAATTCACTTCAATTCTGAACTCCTGCCAAATCCAGTCACTCCGCTCCAAACTCCAGCAATTCGACCTTGAGCTCTGGCAAAAGAATGATGTGGCTATCCTCCCTTCTCACTAGTCTCTCGTTCCCACAGCTGCCCATCCCCCCCGTGGCAGCCCTAAATCTGAATCAAGATGGATCCGGGGCTGACAGGCTGCCTCCCCTCAAGCTATGATAATGTCCTATGAGACAAATGACAGGAAGTTAGAATCCACACCAACTAACTACCTCTTCCTCCTCCAGGGGGCCCCTTTGGCTTATCAGGGAATTTTTCATGAAACTGTTTTACGAAGTCTATCTGCTTTTACATCCCAACTTTTTACCTGTGGCCTCAGACAAAGGGTACCCCTTCCAGTGAATTAGATACTGTAATCAGCCTCTATGTAACCTAGAATCTAGGATTTTTTTTTACTTCATAATGCTCTGGACCACTATTGGTTTGGAAGCTGGTTGATCTCTCAATCTTAGTTGGGAGGAGACAGCCAGTTTCAATAAGCTGCTATGGAATACTGGATGCAACTTTCCCCAATAAGCGGGGGAGACTTAGTTGCGCAGTCAATGGATTTATCACTTTCGCTATAGGAAACGGCCCTGTGAATTTGGGACCCAGTTTCTTTGTGGGCAGCCTCAGCCTAAGATATTTAGTAGACAGGTAGACCCGGTCATGCACTTTGAAAGGGACTTGTGGTGACCGGTGTTTATCTGCTTGAAGTTGTACTTCTCAGCTGTTTACAATTTCATGGCATATTATAATTTCATTATTCAAAACATTCCATCCTAATTCTAATATTAAAGAAAAACTCCCCCTTTAATTACTAATTTGAGTGTACCACCCCTTTGTCTTACACATCATTCAATTAATTCCCCTTTAATTCATAATAATGATTTATCATAATATGATCACTTTTTAGTTATTGCTTTGTAAGTTAGTAACAATAATCTCCTACTACATAACACACATACATTTTAAGCTGGATTCCACATGATATTTTCCCCCTTAATTACTTTCTATTACATTTATTATTGCAAATACATTAATCTATTCAATTAATCATAAAAACTGATGTTAATCTTTTTGTAACAATCCTTATAGCTCATTTTAACAATATTCTTAATTTTATTAAACTTATTTATCATAACTTCCCAATTTCACATTTATATCAATTATATCTATGTGTAATTTAACAATAACAAATAGTCCAATAGCAAAAAAATATCAGTTCCAATCTTTTCATTTTTAAAATCTATATTTTATACATCACAACAAATTACTATTATTTCAAATACATTTATATTGGACTTCCGGTTTGAGCTTCTTCGGCAACAGACCGAAACCTCGTCTCTCCGAGGCTGTGATCTGTGGTTGCTGCTGGAGTGCCCCGAGCTGGCTGGTTTCAGGGCTAAGCCACCCCGTAGAGGTGGTGAAGAGGGAGGAGACTGCCTGCAGGGTTGAGGAGAGCTGCATCTCTCCTCCCCAGCTGGCCATTACTCCCTTTCCCGAAGGCGGTTGTAGTGGTGGTCAGAAATGGCCACCACAAAGAAGAACTCAACCAGAAAAGAATGTGCAGGAGGAAGATAAGAAGAGAAAGTTTTGGTTGACTGGGTCAAACAGCTAAAGCAACAAATAAGGTACCCTGGAATTTAAACTTAACAACATTGTTCCCAAAGAAGATTTTGAAGTTGTGAAGGAGAGAGAGAAGGGAAAGGATTAGGTTTTTTTTCTTTCCTTCCTTATACTGACAGATAAGAGACTTAAGCAAGAAACTGAAAAAAAAATCCACTTTGACATTAATAGGCATCTAAGCTGAAAATAAAAATCAAAGGGATAAATAAAGATTTCTGGACATTTAAAAGTTTTTAAAAGCAGGAAAGGAGAAAAAAAAGAATAGAAGGGCAGGATCTGGAAAAATGGAGGAGACTACCTGGAATTAAGGAATGGAACTGTAATTAAAAGGAACTTACAGTGAAATTTTATCAAGATTCCTCAAAGATACATTTTAATGGAAACTTGGTAACAAAATAATAGAACCCCAGGAAGAGAAAGTGGAAAAAAGAAGCAAGTAGAAACAGCCTTGGATTATTTGGATTACTTGGTGATTTTTGGTTTTTGCATCTAGATGACTAAAATTAACTGGGTGGTTGTTTAAAAGTTTTTAAAATGATATCACTCTTAGAAGAACTGAAAACAGAACTTAAAAAATGGAAAGAAGACGCACAAGAAGGGAGAAGTTCTTTTGGCTTCGTGTTTCAATTCTTAGAAATGGAGATCTGGAACTATGAGAAGCAACAAGAAACACTTGCAGAACAAGAAGATTGGGACAAAGAAAAAGCCATCTTTAATGATCAAATAATTTTAAGTGGGGGGAAAAAAGAAAAGGGGAGAAAGAGAGTGAAAGGTTTAAGATTAGAAAAAACAACCAAAAAGAAGAAGAACAATTTGAAAGATAAGTATAATATTAGAAAGCAACAGAAGAGGGAATTACAGATGAGAGAGTTAGAAGTAGAGAGACGAGGGGACAAAAAGGGGAGGGAGAAGAAGAGGGGGAAGAAGGCAAGGAAAAGAAGTTGTAAAAGACAGAAACAAGAAATGGAGAAACAGGGAAAAGATATAAGGATTGTAACCATAAGTTTGTTTAGAGATAATGGGTGAAAATTTAATTGTAAAAGGGATTCTGCAAAGGTACCTAAGATAGCTTTGTTATATTACAAATAGAAATAACTTTAGAAAATATGATGATGGATAAAATATTTATTGTAATGCAGTGGGATATTTGTTAATAAATAAATGAATTAAAATGATTGAGAGAATTAAAAGGGAACATTTTTAATTATTAGTAATGATTTATAAAAATATAAGTGAGAAATATGGAAAAAAAAGAATTAACTATGGAAAGGTTATAAGTGTTCCCAAGGAAGTATGATATTCAATTGAAAAGAAATGTTAAAGATGTTAAGATTTTAATGCATATTAATGATAGAATTGAATTGGAATGGAATGTGTTTTATTTACATACATACATACATACATACATATATAATTTTTTCTTTTTAAGAATATAGTGTCTATTTTAAGCATGTACCAAGCAGAATTCGATTGGAAGTTATGTATTATATTGAATGCTATAACCTTAAAGCTATACATTGAAGCTTAAATAAGAGCTTGAGTGGATAAAATTAAAGGATATAAAGGTGTCATACTCTAAGTGGTAACTACAGGGAAAAATTTGTTTAATAAGAAAAGATAATGTGAAATGGTAACAGGACAGACAAAAGTATAAATATAATGATTTGAATTAAGATAATCAAAACAAAGTTGAGAAAATTAGAAGAGGGGAAAAACTATGTAGAAAATATAAAATGGTAATAAGATATGGAATAGAATATAAAAATGAGCATGAAATTGAGTTTTGTGTCTGTATGAAGAAGTGATAACCTGGGACCATGCTATTTTCAAAAAAGATGTTTTATTTGTATTTTGTTTTTGTGAAAACCCAAAAATATTTTTTTTAAAAAAACACGTTTATATTACAACACGTTACCTTGCAGAATCCCCTTCCTTATTCCTAATCTACCCGTTATCTCTATGTCTCCTAACTAAACAATTTCTTTTCATTCTTGTTTGATTTCCATATCTCCTTCTTTTCTGGTCTGTTCTCTTATTGCCTCTTTTTTCCTTCATTTTTTCCCTCCATTTCTTACTCCAGTTTTTATCCCCCTCCCTTTTTAAAGCTTTCTTCTGCAATTCCCTTTTCTGCTGTTTTCTTTTTCTTTGTTTGGCTTTCCAAACATTTCCCATTTAATTATCTCCTCAAACCTCCAAATTTTAATTTTCATTCTTTTTTCCTTTCGCTTTAGTGTTCATTGTTCCATTTGTTCATTAGAGTTGGTCTCTTCTTTAATCAGCTCCTCCCCTTCTGGCACTCCTTGTTGTTCTTCATTCTCCAAAATCACCATTTATATTAGTTGTAAGGCAGCACGGTTCATTTTTTTCATGTAATATTTCCTTTACGTTTCTGAGTTCAATTTTTATTTCCCAAAAAAGTTCTACCATTTCTTTACTCTTCTTTTAGATTTTGTTTATTCCTTTCTTTAATATTTAAATCCAAACTAATTGTCCAGTACTTTAATTCAACCAACGTCTTTAATATTTATTTCCAATGATCAATTTCTGTTAATTCTTCTTTGAATTTTCTCCAAAATCATCAAATAATCCAATATCCATAAATTAGAGTTGTGCCAAAATAACCAAACAATCCCAAGGTAATTTCTTTACTCTTCTTTCTTTTATCTTAAAATTCTGTATTTTCACTTTTCAGGGTTTATATTTTGATATAACAAAGTTCCTCTTATTCTGTATCAAGTTCCACTTTGGAAAGAGCCAGGCACTTTTTAAAGGGTCACTAAAGTTTTTCCTTTACTATTAGGTGGTGCTCTCTGTTATGTCCAAGTTCCACCCTTTCCCCCCCCCCCAACTTTCTTTTCTCTGTTTAGGGTTTTAAATTTCAAAAATCCAATAAAGCCAATTATCAATTACTGGTGGGGTTTTTTGTTTTTTTGACAGATTCAAGTTCAGCTTTTAATTATGTCTATTTAGTGCCAAATTCATATATTCATTCCAATTTACACAGGTATTTTCTTCTGACTTCCTCTCTGAATTTAACTCCTTTCAAAGTTCAAAGCCACTTTCAGCTGTCAATTTTTCTTTTCAGTTTCTCTGTCTGCAGCTTTCTCTGTCTTTCTTAAAAAATTTCTTAGTATCTTAATTCTGGGGTACCTTTATATCCAGATGTTGCACCTGATCAGCCCAGTCTTCACATTGTCTGCTTCTTCGTTGCTCCAGCACGATCTTTGTCCCAGTTAGCTCTCCTCCTTCAGGGTGGCCATACTGGCCACTGCTTCAGCCCATCTTCAGGGGGAGTATGCCTAGTCAGGGAGGGGAGATACAGTTCCCCTCGACCCAACTGGCAGCCTCCCCCTTCTTCACCACCCCTTCAGGGTGGTTCTGGCCCCATTTGGAGCCCTCCAATGGGGAGAGCACGGACCGAGACCACACACGATTGCAGTCTTCACTCTGTCGACAAAGGAAACGCCACCGGAAGTCCCCAGGACAGATGGAGATTCCTGAGAGGCTTCCCCCCAGAGTAACTGCTGCCAGATGCCAGTGTGAAGAGGATGCCTGGAAGGAAGCCAACAAAGAAGATCTCCTGTTAATTCTGGCCTTGCATCTCCTGCACAAAACTCTTGAAAATCAGACAGCTCAGGAAAGATGTGCTTTGCCTGTGTATGAAGAGGCTGGGGAAGTAGCCAGGGGAGCAGAAGCTTCTGCAAACCCAGAAGCAACTCCTATAGCTTATCCAGGGTCAGCACCGGCTGCAGGAATTCAAGCAGCTGCCATAGACCAGCCCACCTGTGGGGAGGGGCAGTCCCACAGAGCTGCCGAATTCCAAAGGTTCCTCTGCTGGGAGTAAAATATGGAAGGGATCCCAAAACTCTGGGATTTTTCCTAGCCCAAGTTTGAAATCACATGCAGGAATATGGGGAGGACTTTGCTTTGGAAGCAGCCAAAGTGAGGTGTGTCACCATGGCCCTGGAAGGGACTGCGGCTGAATGGAGGGTCACCCTTCACAATGAGGATGTCCCCCAGCTGAGAGATTATAATTGTTTATGATGCCCCTATGAGCCCATTCATAGGCCTTTCTTGCTGAACATAAGGCAAAGGCCAGAATGAAAACCATAAATCAGGGGTGAAGGTTGGTGGCTGAATATACCCAGGTGTTTCGTGAGTTGGCTTGCCACATGCATGGGTGGTCCCAAGAGACTCTGGTGGAATCTTACAAAGATGAGCTAAATGAAGAGATCTACCAAAGCTGTATCTCCCGAGGGAGCTTGTCAAGACCTTTAGCCCTGGTATGTGTTGGCAGCTGATGTGGAGATTAACCTGGCCAGAGATAGGCACTGTGGGGGCCACAACTGTAACAAATCTCCACCTTCTCCCCTGAGAGAGGCCCCTAGAGCTACCAGAAGCAGGCCAGCTGCCAAACCCAAGTCCACGGCTTGCTTCAGATGTGGAAAGGAGGAGTATTGACCTGCTGATCACCTTGCCAAGCCTGGCTTCAAACCAATACCATCCGGAGGGAAGAAAGTTGAAAAGTCACCAGGCAAACATCATGAAATGGCCCTGAAGGGTGTGGAAGTAGTTGAGCGGTCCTCCGGAACAGGAGGAGTTGGGAACTCCAATCACCCCAGAGGAGAGTAAAACTGACTCTGATGATGACCCTCTGGTAAGTCAACATGTAGGCCCATGACCATCCCAGTGCAGTTAAGGGTGCCTTTATCTGGTGCCCAGGGGAAGATGTTAGCCCTTTTGGATTCAGGGTGTACAAGGTTGGTAATTAGCCTAGAAGTGGTGGAGAAACTAGGGCTAAGGACATTGAAAGAGCCAATAGCGTAGCTGGGGGAGGCCCAACTCATTTTGTTATGGAGCCAGTAGAAAAGTGGATGGGGACCACCGAGAGACTTTTATTGTGGCCCCTGGGGTGGAGTGTCCCCTCCTACTTGAATTGCCCTGGCTCCAGAAATGGAATTCTCATATGAAATCCTCACAGGAAAAGACTGTTGCGCATCTGTTCCACCCAGCTAGAGAGAGGGGGTTCTCCTCCTTGTTGAAGGTGAGCAGCATTTTGAAGTCAAAGAGATCTTAGATTCCAGGAAGACATAGAGGGGAAATTCAGTATTTGGTTGCCTGGAAACACTTTCCTCCTTCTCAGTCTGAATGGGTGAACAAGCGTGATGTCAGAGCCCCTAAACTTGTACAACTGTTTCGCTCTAAATACCCTACTAAGCCTTAATGTAAGATTGAAAATGTTCTCATGTTTTGCTTTGTTCCTATTTTGCCTGTTTTCTATTCTGTTTTTTCTTCCAGGGCTAACGCCTCTACTGCAGGAGGGCTGAATGTCAACCTCTTCGATGCTTGCTTGCTATCGCATGCCATTGTAACAGGGGGAGGGTGAAGTTTGACATTTTGGTGGGGAAGTGAGCTGGAGAAAGACAGCCTTTGTGTGAACCAAAAGGCTCTCGTGATGTACTGCGCAGTTGAATGGACTTGTTTGTACCTGGTCAAAGGCAATCCTCTCAGCATACCAGATGGACGAAAAACACCTGAAGATTTACCCCACGTGACACTATATGAAATGGAGATTGGCTGCTCAGTGTAGGTCCCCGGGGGCAGGGATTTAGGAAAACTTTCAATATGTAACTTTCATGCCTTTTGCTTCAGATCGTGCTTTTCTTTCGTTGCTATCTTTCCAAACTCAGTAAAAGTACCTCTTCTCTACAAACATGGAGTTGGAGGTTTTTTTTCTTGGGTTTTGAACTCACCCTGAAACACCAATAATCCTTCTTATTTTAGAAACAACGTTTTATGGAAAACTGGATAAAGGTAACTGGGTAACATGGTTCACATGACAACCTCTATGTTTTTTTGTTTTAGCAAGCATCATCTCAGTCAGCTAGTCTCTGACTCAGATTCTGAAATGGACAGCACAGAGCAACTAGCCCTGGGTAGCACTGACACACTTTCTAGTGGACATAACGCCGACTTAGAGGCTGCTAAGCGCCTTGCAAAAAGGCTGTACAACTTGGATGGTTTCAAAAAGGCAGATGTAGCTCGTCATCTGGGGAAGAAGTAAGTATGTGTGGGCATTAAAAAAAAAGTCTCCTCATCCAGATTTTATTCAGATTTTATTTTATATGCTCTGTAAAGAAATATGGCTGCCTGTTGTGCTCCTACATATCTCTTCAGAGAAAATGATTATGTCTCCAGTAAGTAAGTCACGGCCTTCATAACAGAAACAGTGGAGGAAGCTTTTGTTTCATTTTACAAACATTCTTAATAATGTCGTTGCTGTGACCTGTATAGCTTATGTTCACAGCTTATCCTCTTTTCTTTTCTAGCTTGACAGCAATATTCCGAGAAGTGTAGATATACTATGGTCACTATAGTCTAGTTGGATTAGAACATAGGATGGGGAAGAGTAGTGTAATTGAAAAATAACAAATCTGGGAGCTTTCCTTGTCCTTTACTGCTTGCCATGTTCAGTTGTTAATCCATCTCATATAGAAATTCTATAAACAAGATGTTTCTTTCATTTCCAGTAATGATTTCAGTAAGACAGTAGCAGGGGAATATCTGAAGTTCTTTGAATTCACTGGAATGACTCTGGACCAAGCTCTTAGGTAAGTGTCCAAGGAGGGACATCTGAAGTTTTCAGAAAGAAAGAACCTTTAATAAAGGTTCAGAGATAAATTAAAGTAGCTGCAGTAGTTTTCAAGTTTAACTTTTATTTGCATTTATTTAGTAAGGCTTATCAGATTTTATGTATTTATTTAGCCATAGTAGCTCACCAGAATTTACTTAATCTATTTGGGCTGCCTACAGTATGGGCAGTCCTCAACTTACAATGGCAATTGAAACTGGAATTGCCATCATTAAGTGATGCAGTTTTAAAGTGCAACTATATTGATTAGTGCTGGCACTTATTGTTAAGCAAGGCAACTTCTTGCTACAACCAAAATTGGCGGAGAAGTTGGCAGGAAGTAGCATGTCCCAGGCCCACAGGCCTACTTGATGCGGGAGACAGCGAGGATGTGTGTGGGGATGAAAGGGAGGAGTGAGGTGGGTACACAAGGATATGAGGGGGTGCCAAGAACTGCTGTATGGGAGAATACCAATTGACTTCCGGTTGTGGCACCACATTGAAGCGGACAGAGGAACAGAGCACCGTTCTGAATGCCTGAATTTTTGCGATCGGCAGCTCATCGGGGTGAAGTCGGATCCTGGAGGGACTGGCAATAAAGAGGAGAACATTCAGAGGTGTCAGGAAGAATCCCCGATGCTGTCAGAAGAAATCCTGAAAACCGGTGCAAAAGAGGATGATCTCCATGATCAGAACCAGAGGCGCGGCTGCCTGACTAACTGATAAAGGAAATAAAGAGTGAAAAGCAATGAGACTAGCAATGGAAAAGTGAAATAAAAGGAAAGTACCTGAGTAGATTGGTGATAGTGAAAGAAGAGGAAAGTTCTGTGATCAGAGATCAAAGCAGGTGGCGGACTTGGCGGTAGGAGCGTTTATGGTGGATTGAGTGACTGATTTTTGCACTGAGAGACTGACAGGCAATAGAGGGGGGAGAGAAAGAAGAGAAGATATGGTTTTTCCTTTTTTATATGTGTGGACGGTGGAGAGAGAGAGAGATTGGCAGTGGTGAGAACTGTGAAACACATGCAGTGAGAAAACGAAACAAAAAGAACGACAAGCTATAGTGACTGTGCACTTTTGAAAGAAGACATCTTGAAATTAGAACTGCTCACTGAAGAAAGAAGATAAGAGGTTTTGCAAATAGCACTTATATATATTTAATATATGTAATAGTCATAAAATAGCAATTTAGAGTTATTAGAACAACTATTGAATATTGAATATATTTGTAGGTTGAATATATTTATAGGTTGAATATATTTGAATAAGAAGTAATATTCTGGTAAAATTAATATCATTTTTTCCTTTCTTTTCTTTCCCCTATTCTTGGAAATCTTTTTAGTATAAATAAGAATTTCTATACGTGTAACTTGGTGAGAATGAAAGTGGATTTATAGTGGATTAACTTATATATTGTGTCTAGGATTTTCTTAAGATTTATATATAATGAATTGATCATATTAATTAATTACTTGATTATCGATTACTGATTATATTTGTCAATTAATGATTAGCACTTATATTTGATATTGTGTTGCAAATACAAGATGTAGTAGAAGGTTAACAATTAATTGAGCAGTTATTAAACCAAATACAGGATAGGAGAGATTTTACTGTAAAAGCATATTACCAGATAAGATAAAACAAAGACAATGGGGAGTATCCTCAATAGCGGTATTTGATGGTAGATTGGAAGACTCTTCTACATATCTTGAAAATGACAATGACAACTACAATTGTAAAAACAGGAAAGAAGACAACAGCACTATATCTTCCCCATCAGGAGAAAGGTTGCTAGACACGATGTTAGTTATAGAGAAGCCAAGTTCCTCCTTACCTTTACAGATGGTACAGTCAACTCTAACTATGATGCAAGAGATGATGGTGACGACTCAAGAACTTATAGCAAGGAACCATGAGGACCTGAAAACCGAAATGAAGACTGATATAGTAGGAGTGAAAAATGACATACAGAAATTGGATAACAAAATTGAAATAATGCAAGAGGCGGTGGCAAACAATGAACAGAAACTGACAACAATGGAAGCCAGAACTGAATATGTGGAAAAGAAATTAGAAGAGACAGAACAGAACTGGAAAGTATTGTATTGTGAACTTCAGGAATCAGTGGTCCATTTGGAATTGGAGAAAGAGGCATTCTTCCTCAGGTTTCAGAATGTCACTGAAGATAGGAAAGAGGACTTACGTACCATCATGACAGAACTGATAGCAGAAGCCCTCCAGACAAAATAAACAAGAGATTAGGAATGGCATAGATGAGGTCTACAGAGTGTATACGCATTACGCATGTAGGCACGAATTACCATGGGAGGTCCATGTATGGTTTGCCAGAAAAAAATAATGAGAGATCTATTGAATGGAAAGGCTAGAGATGAGCCGCTAATTTACAAAGGAAATAAGATGGTGATGCTGAAACAAATACCCAGGAGAGTTAGAGAGCAGAGGAGGAACTATCACTTTTTATCATCTCAACTGATTAAAAACACAACTGTTTTTAGGTGGCTCACCCCGGAACGACTTCTAATATCTTGGCAGGAAAAGAAATACAAAATCAACTCATTGGATAAAGCACACAAATTTCATGAGCGAGATTTGGGATCCGAAGAGAAGCAAGAAAACAGGGAGGATCTGGAGAGCAGGAGTCGGGAAGAGCAAACATCTGAAGAGAAGGAAACAGAACAGGAACTAAAAGAACAGAAAACCTGAGAGGAAGAAGAAAACAACAGACCCAGAAGAGAACTCAGAGTAAGAAAAGAGACCATAACCGCCCTATACAAACAGTAACATGGAAAGAGAAATTACCTTATTGTGAATTAACATAAATGGTCTAAATTCACCAATAAAAAGGAAACGGATATTTGAAAAACTTAAGAATCAAAATGCAGATATCATATGTATGCATGAAGTCCATATCTCAAAACAGCAAGCAGCAAGCAATTTTAAAATTCCCTAAACTAGGCGAACTGTATCTGGCCCTGACAGATAAAAAAAAGACAGAGATTGTGGTATACATAAAAGATTGGCTAAACCTGAGGCAGATTTATAAGGATGAGGAAGGAAGGATGTTATTTACAGAAATTACTTTAGATCAGAAGAAGACATTTTTGGGAACAATATATGCTCCAAAAACAAACCAGAAAGATTTTTACCTAAACTTAATCGGAAGATAACAGATTGTGTTTCTGATCTTACTGTAGCTTTCTGGGAGATTGGCCTATAGTTCACAATTAGTTGTTGATCAGTGCCATCTTTTGCAATTAAGGAGATGTATGCCTTGGACCAGGACCTCAGAAGTCTGGCTTGCGTTAATGCCTCATTATATAGTTCCAGTAATATTGGCTCAAATTTTTATATAATTCACCTGGTAGGCTATCCAGACCTGGTGTTTTATTATTTTTTTGTTTTTGTATCGCCTTTTGTAACTCTGTTAGTGTTATTTCTTTGTTAAGTATTTCTCTGTTTTCTTCTGAGATTGGGCTCAGATCATTTCCCTCCAAGTAGTATCTAAAGTTTTCTTCCATAACTTCTTCTTGCTTATAAAGCTCACCAAAATACCTTTGCGCAATTCTCTTTTTCTCCTCCATCTGATAATACACAGTCCCTTCCTCATCCTTAAGTTGCTGAATTAATCTTTTCTCTTTCTCTATTTTTAATTTATAGAACAACCACCTTCCTGGTTTATTTGCTGATTCAAAGAAATTATGTTTAAGAGTTTTTAAGTTACGTGCATTTTCCTCAATATCTATCAAATTTAGTTCATGTCTAATCATTCCTATTTCTTTCTTAGCTTCCATATTTTGGGGGTCTTTTTGGAACTCATATTCATTTTTTTTAATCCTTTCTTGTAATTCATTCTGTTTCTTCCATTTTTCTTTATTTTTCTTAGCTATATAGGCTATTGATATGCCTCTCACGAAGGCCTTTGTAGTGTCTCATAAATTTTGTAAACTAGTATGTTGTTTTAAATTAACCTTAAAGAACATTTCTAACTCATTTTTAATTCTTGAAATATATTCTTTTTCTTTTGTTATTTGTGAATTTAATATCAATCTCCTTTTCCTTTTATTATGTCCTTTCCATGTAATTTTAACTGGGCTATGATCGACCCATATATTGGGCATTATCTCTACTTCACTAATGTCTTTCTCAATTGACCCATTGACCCATACCATATCGATTCTGGACCATGACTTTTGTGGACTAGAGTAAAATGTGAATTTCTTCTCATTTGGATTCCTCTTCCTCCATATGTCTTCCAAATTGGTCTCGTGTTAAATGAAAAAATTTGGGGGTAGAATTCTTTTTTTTCTTCCTAGTCCCTTCCATACTAATATAGTCTTTTTTAATATCAACAATGGCATTAAAGTCCCCTATCAAGCAAATATTTTCTTCACCTACACTAATTATTTTATCATATAGTCCCTTATAAAACTTCTGGTTGTCATTAGGGGCATATATCCCCACCAATAGTAATTGTTTTTGATGTAAATTAATTTGTATCATTAAAATTCTGCCTTGTTCATCTGCATATTTCTTTTTTGCATTTATCCCTTTTTTTTACACAAATTGCTACTCCCCTTTTCTTTTGATCTGCCCTGTCTGACCAAGAAGAGTCAATCGAAGAACTGGCCAGAGATGACTGCCTCAACTATGCAGTTCATGATGGAGGCTTTTGAAAACCTCAGAACCAGGAGGAATTAAATTGACACCAGAGGCAAGGGGACACCAGAGAGTAAGGCAGCAGCAGAAGCCAATAGGGCCAGCGCTGCCACTCCGGCAGCAGCAGGCAAAGCAGGCACAGCAGAGGGGGCAGCAGCCATTTTGGTGAACTCAACCTGTGCAGCACCGGCCCTTGCAATTGCCCCTGGACAACCCAGAACATCGCAACTCAAGAGGAAGACCCCTGCGAGACTGAAGTACAATGATGACCCACAGCAACTGGGGCTTTTTTTGGCACATGTCCTCACATACATGCAGGAGTATGGAAGGGATTTCCAAACCCAGGGTGCTTGGGTTTAGTCATCACCCTGGCCTTGGAAGGGGCAGCTGCCCGTTGGATGGTGACCCTTCACAACGCAGACACTCCTGAACTGTGGAACTTCAACCGATTCATGATGGCTCTCCGCCACGGATGTGAAGACCCCTTGGCAGATTGGAAAGCTCATGAGCACATTAGAATCATGAAACAGGGCCACTGGCCAGTAGCTGAATACACTGAAGAGTAAGACCTCATTTGCAGAGTGGACTGGCCAGAAGACATCCTAGTGAGCTGGTTCAAAGATGACCTGAATGATCACCTCTACCATGCCTGCCTGGTTCGAGGGGCCCCAAACCACTTCCACGACTGGTCCATCCTGGTCAAAGAAGTGTAGATTGACATGGCCAGAAACAAATACCAAGGGGGAAGAGCCTGAAAGAGATCCCCATCCCAGGGGAAGTGGGAGCCATTCAAGCTACAAACCCCCACCCCAACACCAAGATAATCTGCCTGTTTCAAATGCAGGAGAGGAAGGAAGGGCACCGTGCCTCTGAGTGTCATTCAAAAACACCCGCTTGAAAGCCAGAATGCCTATCCAGTGGAAAGCCCACAAAAACAACCCCCTAAGGAAAAGACACCGCACTGAGAAGTGGAGAAGCCATGGAGTTTTGCCTCCTCGTAAAATTTGGGGAAGGACCTCCAGCATCACCTGGGGAGGAATCGGGCCCATCCGAGAGCCAATTGAGCCACTCACCCTGTCCCTAAGACTATTTGTCCCTAGTTGGGGGAAAGGAGTAAGAATCTCAGTCCTCTTGGACTCAGGGTCCTTGCACCTGGTGTTTGATTAGCCCAACCCTGATGGGAAAATTGGGCATACACCTGTGGAAGCTAAAAAAAAACCCTATCACATTCTGCCAGTTAGATGGGTCAGTCGCAGGGGAGGGACCAGCCATTTTTGCCACAGAACCTCTGGACTCATTATGAGAGACTCACTTTCATTGTGGCACCTGGAATGGAATGGCCGCTAGTTCTAGGGCTCACCTGGTTGAGTAAGTGAAACCCCAGAGTGAACTAGAAGCAGGAGACTCTAAGATTTCAATGGGTGACTGGACACGATGGCCAAAAGGAGGAACTGGGGGGAGACTCAAACAAAGAAACAGTGATGGCGGGAAAGGCCGCACCAACCCAGGACATCCCCAGGGAGTACAAGGACCTAGCTGAGGTGTTCAGCGAAGAAGGCTCCAACGAGCTCACCACCACCACCCCACAGACTGCGCTATCAAGATCCTCCCGGGGGCCTAACTACCAAAACCAAAAATGTATAGCATGTCTCCCAAGGAACTCGAGGAATTGAGAGCCTTCATAGATAAAAACCTGGCGAGGGGTTTTATCAAACCAACATGACCAAAAATCGTCACCCTGGTGCTATTCCAAGAGACGAAAGATGGGTCTTTGTTTGGGTTACAGAAATTTAAACACTGTGAGCATGGAGAATGAGTACCCCTTCCCCCCCACATGAAAGACATGTTAGACCACCTCTCCAAAGGATTTTTTTTTTAAAAAAACTGGACTTACTACTGAATCAGGATTAGGGAAGGGGAGGGATGGAAAACAGCTTTTAACACACCTTTGGGGTGTTACCAATTCAAAGTGTTTCCATTTGGATTATGCTCCTGTTGTGTTTATGCAACTGATAAACGAAGTGCTCCATGAGCACCTGTACAGGCAGAAGCCAGTGACGTAGCAGTCGGAGCCATCCTACTCCGAGAAAAGGAGCAAGGCCAACCGCAGCCCTGTGCATACATGTCTAAAAAAACCTAATCAACACTGAACAGAGATGGGCTATCTGGGAGAAAGAGGCATACGCAATATGGTGGGCTCTCTTTACTTGGAGGCATTTCCTAGAGGGGAATGAAATCCCTTTCAAAGCCTAGACTGATCATAAAAACCTGGAGGTTTTGCCTTGGGGGAACTCAGACCCTGCTTTGCATTGTCTTGCATTCACTTCCTTTCATTAAAAGTTCCCTTTTGAAATACTAAAGTTTCGAGAATCCATGCTTTCCTGAACGGGAAGGAGAGGCAGGACCTTACACATGTCTTCCTTTTCTCTTCAGGTCTTTTCTGAAGGAGCTGGCCCTCGTGGGAGAAACTCAAGAACGGGAACGGATCCTAGCTCACTTTTCACAACGATTTTATGAGTGCAATCCCAAAACCATCCCTTCTGAAGGTGACAGAAAAAAAATATTACTCAATTATATCCACTTCCTTATAACCGGACACTTATAATGCCTTTAACATCTGCAAAAGTGATAACCTTACAAGCAGAATATAAGTGATGGCAACAGGCACTTTTACAAGGAATCTTTTGTTTGGTCCCATTATTCCAGAACTGGAGTGTTTTAAAGCTGAAAATAGCCATGCACATTTTGGTGAAAATTTTTGAAAGGCAATGTCTAACAGTATTAATACGGAACATTTCCCTTCAAAGAATCTTGAAACCATTTAGGAATTATTTTTGTGAAGTATTTTAAAAAAATCACTTGTCTTCCAAATATTCATTGTGACAGTGAGTTATTTGGCAATAGGTGCAACAAGGGTTTAATAATTTTACTTCTTTTCTATACATGCATGAAGATTTTTTTTAAAAAAAAATAATAATAATAAAAAAGTAAATAAGATTTTTTTTTTTCCTCCAGTGAGGATCACACGTTAGAAGTTGATTAATAATAAGTACAATAAGAAGGGCCCAAACTGATTATTTCTCTTTGGTGCTTATGCCACAGATGGAGCCCACACCCTGGCTTGTGCCTTGATGCTTTTAAATACAGACCTTCATGGACATGTAAGTGACATGCTTTTTAAATCATCAGACCGGGTGCATTTGAGATGAGTGCAGTGAAAAAGGAAAAAAAAGGTTAAGTGGCTGCTGGATGGATCTGTTCTCTCCAGGAGCCAAAAGCTAAATGACCATGGAGACACAGAATTGCAGGGCTGGGTGGGTAAGAGTCTCCAGAAGACCATTTTAAGCCCTGCAGGTGGCCAACTCCCTTTGACTTCTCCTGCAGTCAGAATATTCACATGGAGGAGGACTCCCTTTACAGGTAATCCTCGAGTTATGACACTTCACTTAGCGACCATTCAAAGTTGCAACATAGCCCTTCTCCCCCCACAAGTACTTAAGACACAGTCCTGAGGTTACAAATGTTGCAGCACCACAGCGGTTTGCTCACCCTTACAAATGACCGCAGAGGCACTGCAACGTTCACCCTGCCTATTCTCCCCACCCCGAGTCATGGGCACTGGGTCGGTGGACACTCATTTACCTTGTGAAGATTTAGTGAGATGTCGCCTCTCTGCTGCGGTTTCTTTGCCTGTTCATGGCACTCCAAAAGAGGAGCAGTGAGAAGAGAGGGAGACAGGGACAAGCGCACGCTGCTTGGCTTCTCTGACACACCAAGCCTGCCTGCCACTTCTGAAGTGATGGGTAGCTTCGGTGAATGTCCCACAAAGGCTTCCAGTCTTGGTGTGGAAAAGGATGCCGACAGGAGGTTTTGGAGCAGCACAATTGTATTGCTTCAAGCCTCCTGTCAGCAAGCAAACACTTTTTGCACAGAGACTGGAAGCGTCTGGATTTCATAGGACTTCGGGCACCCATTCCCTGCAAAAACGGATCAGTGCCTGAAGGTCTGAGAGATCAAGACACTCAGGAGCTTCCAGCTCTGCACAAAAAGTGTTTTCACGCCAATGGGACACTTTGAGGAAATCGCACTGCCTCAAAGATCCCATTAGTGTGTAAACACTTTTCGTGCGGAGACTGGACACTTCTGGCGGCTATGATGTTGAGTGACTTGTTAGAGAAAGGAGTTACTAAGCTATCATTAAACATCCTCGATAAAATTCTATCCTTATACATATTTTTTTTCTTTAAAAGCCACACCACCCACTACCCATATTTTGTGACATATTTTTTCCAGAATACTTAATTGAAACAGTCTTGCTAAACTTACGATCTAGTCACTTTTCCTTCTTTCCTCTTTTCCTCCTTATAGAACATTGGGAAGCGAATGTCTTGTTCAGATTTCATTGGGAATCTGGAAGGTCTCAATCAAGGTAGTGATTTCCCCAGAGATCTACTCAAGGTAAATCCAGCTAGAGATCTTCCTGGAAAAACAGGGCAGTATAGGGTAAAATGTTGCTTGTCACTTTTACTAAGCAAGTTCCTGAGATCTAGCACGTCCAGGAGGGGTTTTTTTTCCAGAGAGTTTATCCATCTTGGAGTACATTTTCAAGAAGAACCTTACCTGCAACTCAGTGGTGGGATTCCAATTTTTTTACTACCGGTTCTGTGGGAGTGGCTTGGTGGGCAAGGCAGGGGAAGGATACTGTAAAATCTCCAGTCAGAGTTCTTCGAACTACTCAAAATTTCCACTACTGGTTCTCCAGAACTGGTCAGAACCTGCTGAATATCACCTCTGCTGCAACTACACTATTTATGGTAGCTCCGTTTCATTTTAGCAAATATCCTACCATTTGGGTGGGTGGGTATGGTATGTGGGTATGGTGTGTGCATATGCATTGAGAAATTTTATGTATTTACATATATTCTGTATGTATATATTTAGCTGGTGATAAGAGATTTGGGGTGCAACTGAGTGTGTGGCAGATACAATGTGATGCCATAGAATATTTCTACAGGGAGACTGTGTGTGTATTCAAATCTGATACACTTTAAAAAGCTGCTTTGGTACCTCATCTTTCAGAGGAAAAACTGCCTACCCCCAAAGGAGAAGGGTAAGGCAGATTCACACTTCTGTATGGCAATGACACCACCACTTATTCCCTTTGAAGGTTGTAGGAAATAAAATGTTCTAAATTTCAGGGTGGTTATAAAAACTCAAAGGTATTTTTGTGTATTTATTACTTTTTTGTTAAATGCTAAAAGGTTTTTTTTTTAAAAAAAGTCTGTTTTCTTGTTAAAGTTCTGTTTGAAAATATATTCATGTCTCTGGAAGTTCTGTTTGAAAATATATTCATGTCATTATTACTGTGGAATTTCTTTTTTTTTAATATTTTAAATTTACATTTTATTAAACAAACACAAAAACAAAACAGAAAAGAACATTAAAAGCAATAAACATAGGTACAATCCTCCTAACCCACATAGTTGTCTTACATTGCTAAGTCACATATAAAAATAGTGTATATTTACATTCTATATTCATAATATATAATATATACATTCAATCATTTCTTATTATCTTGATCCTTTCTCTTTTCTAACCAATCATAAAATATACTTTGTAATAATTCCCATACTTTGTAATAATCCGATTCACCCTTATTTTTTAATTCTTTTGTCAATTTGTCCATTTCTGTGCACATCCAGATTTTCCTAATTATTCCTATTTCACTTGGAGTTTCTTTACATTTCCACTGTTGTGCATATGCCAATCTCGCAGCTGTCTGTGATTATATGAATTATTAAGTATAAGTCCTTGTCATATTTTCCCACATTAATTCCTAACAAAAAGAATTCGGGTCTATATTCTATTTTGATCATACATATCTCTTCCAACCATTTCTGAATTTCCTTCCAAAACTTTTGGGCTTCTTTACAATTCCACCATAAATGATAATACGTTCCATTTTCCTTATTACGCTTCCAACATACAGGGGAAAGATTTGGATACATTTTTTTGCCAATTTTGATGATGGTATATGCCATCTATAAAACAATTAGTATACATTTTCTTTAAACAGTGTAGCCAAAGTCATTTTTTTTGTTTCATTCCCATAAGTTTTGCCAATCATCTAAATTTATACTATATTCAAAATTCTTCATCCATGCCACCATCGTTTCTTTTATTTTTTCTTCCTCTAATTTGCATTCCAATAGAACTTTATAATTTTTTTTATCAATTTCTCATCAGATCCCAATAGTACTTCATCTAATTTTGTTTTGCCCCTGCTAATTCCCCACTCTTTCGTATCTTTCCTATGTCTCGAATGGAGTTGCAAATAAGCCCACCATTCTATATCTATTCCTTAGTCCTTCAAATCTTGTCTCGATCATAATTCCTCTCTGTGTCCTCATAGGTAATAATTTTTCCTTGTCGAAGTAGGTGTGGGTACCTCAAAGCTTCCAATATAGATAGCCATATAGGTGTTTCTACATATATTTGTATTTTGGTTTTGTTCCATGCAGTTAACAAGGTCTGCCTAATTTTAATACCTTGAAAGTAACTATGGCCTATTTGTTTGTCCTGTCACAGAAAGGCGTGCCATCTTGCCTGTAAATTATAACCCTCTAATATTAATATTCTTTTATTCTTGTGATTTATCCAATCTTTAGCCCATGTTAGAATTGCAGCTCTGTAGTACAATTCCCAATCAGGTAGGCCAAATTCACCTCTTTCTGTAGCATCTTGCAAGCAAATTTAATTTGATTCTTGGTTTTCTCTTTTGCCATATAAATCTCGACGTCAATTTATTCAAATCATCAAAAAACTTTTTCCCAATTTTATGGGAGCATTTTGAAAAAGAAATAGTAATTACGGTAATATATTCATTTTTACTGTCACTATTCTACCCATAAAATATAATCTTAATTTGTCCCATTTTTCCAAATCTTCTGCTATTCATTTAATTAATGGATTATAATTATCATTTTTAAGTGTTGTACATCTCACCAAGATCATAATCCCCCAATATTTTACTTTATCTACTATTTGAATGCCCATTCTCGCAGCTAGTGTTTTTCCTTTTGCTTATTTGTCATATTCTTTGTAATTATTTTTGTTTTCTCCCTATTAATTTTTAGCCCCGTGACTTCTCCAAAATCTTCTAAATTTTCTATAAGTTTTATATAAAAATTAGATCGTCAGTGAAGGCTTGCAATTTAAACTCTTCCTTTTTTATTTTTAACTCTTTAAACTCTGTTTCCTTTCTAATTATTCTCGCTAAGACCTCCAAAGTCAAAATAAACAGAAGTGCCAATAGTGGACATCCCTGTCTTGTTCCTTTTTGTATTTCAAATTTATTTGTTGTTTTCCCCCATTCACCAATATTCTAGCTTCTTGTTTATTATATATTGCCGATATAAGGTTTATAAATTTTTGTCCAAAATGTATTTAATTTGCTACAAGATGAAATTCCATTTTACGTAGTTGTTTGCCTTTTTAGCATCTAGAAACAGTCGTGCCACCTGGTCACAGCTATGTTCTTCATAATATTCTATAATATCTAAAATTGTCCTTATACTATTTTTAAGATGTCTACGCGGAAGAAATCCATTCTGGTCCACATGGACGAATTCATTTAGAAAAAAATTAAGTCTTTCTGCTATTATGGTGACAAAAATTTTATAATCCACATTTAAAAGGGACATTGGTCTCTAATTTCCAATGTTTGTTTGATCATTTCCTTCCTTGGTTATCATAGCCTCATTTCAGGATTGTGGGATTTTTGCCTTGTCTAAGACTTCATTAAATATTTTAAGCATTTTAATATTTCATATATCTTGTTGAGTCTTGTAGATCTCTGCTGGCAGCCCATCTGGTCTCAGTGCCTTATCAGTTTTTTTTTCTATTGTCCAATTTACTTCTTCTAGTCTTATTTTCCAATTCAACATATTTTTTTCCACTTCCAAAATTTTTGGGAGTTCTGATTTCTTTAAGCAATCTATTACTTTTTCCTCTATTGAGTACTCTTCTTCCTTATATAACTTCTGTGTTGTGTTCGTCTGTGAGTCAGACTTTCACAGCCGTTTTAGTTTTAAATTTGGGGCTAGCCTACTGCTGTGCCAGAATGGTTTTTTCTTCATCCTGATTGGTTGGGAGTCTTGGTCTGTGTTTATTGGTCTTGGAATTTGCTGTGTTCTGCTTGATTGGTATTTCTAATATCTTCTGTCTGTTTTGTGGGTTTTTTTTTCTTGATTGGCTGGCAACATTGTGTTCCTGTATTGGAGGCTTTTAGTGCACCTTGGCTCCGAGTAAATGGACAGCTATCATTTATTAGGAAGCTAGGTTTCATCTGGGTGCCTGGTTGGGGTGTGTTTGAGCTGGAGGTATCAGGGGGGATCTGTTTGTGCCCAGGTGTTTGCCTGGCTTGTGGTGTGGATATTTTTTGTTTGTGAGTGCAGGCTTCCAAATAATTGACAGTCTGGTGGAGTCATCTCTTCTATTCATGCTTTCAGGTCTTTTTTCAATCTCTATGGCTTCTCTGATAATTCTGTAGCTGGGGTTTTCTATAGTGGCTAGGGTTTTGGTGCCATTGAAATCGATGCTATGACCTGTTGCTTTCATGTGTTGGACTACTGAGGAAGTGTGTTCCAGCTTTTTTTTACTGAATTCTTGTGTTCATCCAGGTGGGTACTTATTGGTCTGTCCGATGAATGTGGCAGGGCATGATGCACAGGGGACTTCATATATGCCTTGGTTTTCCAGGTCAGTTTTATCTTTGGAGTTTCTTAGGATGGCTGCTATTTTTCTGTCTGCTTTGAAGGCAGTCTTGATGTGATGCCTGTGTAGTATCTTACTGATTTTGTCTGTAGTACCTCTTATGTAGGGCAGGACAGCTGTTCTATAGGTCTGTTCATCTTCTAGATCTCCATTATGTCTCAGTGTGTTTTTGTGATTTGCTGGTGATTTTGCTTTTGTGGAAGCCGTTGGCTGTCAGTACTTTAGTCAGGGTGCATAGTTTAGTCTTTATGTGTGTCTCGTCTGCCAGGCATTTGGTTCTGGTGATTAGTGTTTTGGCCACAGAGTTTATCTGTGCTGGGTGGTGGTGGGATTGGGTGTTGAGGTAGCGGTTGGTGTGTGTTTTCTTCTGGTATATGGTGTGTCCTAGTGTGCCATCTGTTTTTTTGTAGATTAATACATCTAGGAATGGTAGTTGGTTTTTTGTTTCTGTTTCCATGGTGAACTTGATTTGGGGGTGTGTGCTGTTTAGATGTGTTAGGAAATTGTTTAGGTTTTCTTTTCCATGGGGCCAAATCATAAATGTGACATCGATGGATCTTAACCATAGTTTGGGTTTGTGGGTGGCATTAGCTAGGGCTCTGGATTCAAATTCTTCCATGAACAGGTTTGCAATGACGGGTGACAGTGGTGATCCCATAGGGGCTCCTTCAATTTGCTTG